TATATAAGTTCTATTTCAAAGTGAGTATTATAGTTCTATGTAATATGAAGTATTATCAAAGATCATTACTTACTAAAGAATTGTATTTCACTGTCTTCATATCTTGAATATCTGCTCATTCAAATCTCTGATAGTTAATATTGTAGTAGTATCAGACTAATTTAATATATAAGTCTCATTTCTTCTCTGTTCAATCTTGAGAAGTGTAAATATTAACTCAATAGAAGAAATCTAGTAGAGCTGCTACAGCATAGTACTCTGTAAAAGATTGTTCAGTTTTACTATAGTAATATTTCAGTTTATCTCTTACAGTAATAATAGCCTGTACTATAGCATTATCTCAGACTGAATTTCTTTTTAAGTAATTCAACTGCTTCTCAAGATAAGTAAATAAACTGTTATATACTTATCAGACTGACTGCAGCATTGATATATGAGTAATTGAGACTGTCTTTATTATTTTATAAAACTGAAACAGTAAATCAATCATATATTTCAACTGAGTTTACTTCATATCAGAAAGTTTCAATGTCTGAATCTTTTCTTAATCAGAGTATTATACTCAATGATCAATCATCTGACACAATTGAAGAGTCTGAACAGTTATCTTATATATTGAACTTTATTATATTCTAACATTCTGTATCATATTCAGTGATGTGACTGATTTATTTATTGATTAAATATTATGAAATCATTGTTATTATTTAGAGAAGATACAAATTACATTAGTAATGTTTCAAATCTGTGATATTTAAATTATTAGTCAATCTATTCAAAATTAACAGTAGCATTATTAAAAAGTATTATTAAAAAATAATATTAAAAGTATTATCAAATAATATTATCTTTTACAAAGTGAATGTAAAAGTTACTTGAGTAATCACTTTCATCTCATTCTTATCTTAAGAATCAGTCATCTTATTATTCTTCATCTTAATGTTAAGATTCTTTATCAGTGTTTATATCACAAGTTAAATCACATGAGCAATGCAGAGAATATGACCTTATTTATCATTTCAGAAATACAAAGTTAATTTTTGCTTCAAGCTGTTCATCATAGTGTAGTTATTCACAGTATTATCAGTTATAATTGTAAGAAGACTGAGACTAATATCTCAATAGTCATTTTTAATCACAGTTATTAATATCTCTGTTATATAATTCTCAGTATAACTACTGATCAATGATTTAAATTCAATTAATGTCTTTTAATAAGTTCAGTTCTTATCAATGTAATAACATATAACTCTTATAAATATAAGATTATTTATACTAGTTTATACATTCACTGTAAGAGACACTCTTCAATGATTCTTCAACTCTGATTCTAGATATTGTATATTAACTTTATAGTGTATCTTGAAATTGAACTGAAGACAGAATTGATGTAGAATATGAAGATTTGAATTAAGTATTTGAAGAAGTGTTCAGAATTCAGAGTTTTCAATTAATTAAAGAGAAAGATTCAGAGATATATATATTAAAGTAATTATTTATAAAAGTTATCAGATAAGAGTTGTGAAATCAGAGTACTGATACATAGTTATTTTTACATGATTTTCTTCAAATTAGAAAGTTAGTATTACTAAAAATCATTATCTGATAGAGTAACTTATCAGCTCAGTAGTAATTTTCTAATTATTTTTCTTTTATTATCTGCATTCTAATGACTTCAGATGTCAGAAAATTTCTTCAGAGTTATAATCAGTTTATGATAAATATTTCTGAATAAAGTTGCAGTGATTATAATAGAGAGATGACTCTTCAGTAATCTGTAATATAATCTGTTAATAATTATTTCATAGTTTATCTCAGTGTTTATGTTGAGTTTTTCATAAATTTTATGACCTGAAATCAGATATGAAGAATGAAGTGATTATTTAGTATAATTGAAAGAGAGTATTCTGTGTTAAATTATAAATAACATAGACTTTGTGATTCATAGTGATTTCTTAAAGAGTTTGTGAATCTTCAATAGAAGTAAAAGAAGTAAAAGAAGTAGATTCAGAAGACATAATAATAATTTAAGAAAGATAATAATTTATTTTCAATAACTGATCACTGATGTGTGTAAGAAGAATTAATATAAGAGAAAATAATCTTCTTTCTTAGCTTAGTTATAATTTTAGTACTAACTCAGATTGAATATTATCAATGTATAAAAGTAAATAAACAATCTTGATTAATCTCTGTTATATTTCTTGAAATATATTAATATTATGAAAGAGACTGTTATTAAATTACATTATCAGATGATATCATTAAAAATATATTAATATTATAAATATCAATGTTGAAAAAATATTGATACTTATATATTATAGTGACATAATAGTTGAATATATATATATATATTATTCCTGATATTGATAATTGATTACAACTTGTATAATAATTTTTAAAAACTTAAAATTAATTTCAATTATTAACTAATAGTTATAAACTTATAACTAACTAATATAAAAAGAAAAAAACTTTTTCTACTTATTATCTTTCTTCTCTTTCTCATTCTTCTTATTATTCTTTATAATTCACTTTTTATTCTCATTCTTCTTCTTCTTCTTCTTATCTGAGATAATAATTATCTTAAAATCTCTCTCTACTATCTTCTTAGAGAAGAGTTCTCACTGCTCTCTCTCAGTCAGATCAATCTATATCTCAAAATCCTGCATTTTCTGATTTACTGTCTCAGGTTTCATCTCAGCAGTAAGCAGATTAACATGCTCAGAGAGTAGAGCTGTCTTCTTAATATTCTGAATTATGAAGTGTATTTAAGATCTGAATAAGATCTCAATTCTCTTCTTCTCTGTCAGCTTCTGCTAATTAATTAGAGAATAGAAGTATTATCAAAAATTATTATCTCTTAATAAAAAACTTATCAGTTTTAACTTCTTTATCTCTCACTTTAATACCTTCTTAATCTTCTTCTATCACTACTTATTTATAGTAATACTCTTCTTCTCTCTCTCTCTCTTTATCTTAGTCTTAAATCATTCTCAGAACTTCTTCTGATCTTATTACTACTATATAAGACTCTTCACTATCTTCTTTTTCAATCTCTTACAGACAGTGTCATTCATATTATTTCTATACTTAATTCAGTCTAAATCTATCAGAAGTGTTACTTAAAATCATTATTATTCTACTTTCTTACAGAGTCTCTTTAAGATATTATAATATGTCTTATAATCTATCTCTCTGCACTTGAATACCTTGTTCTTCTCTCTCTTCAATTTGTAATAATGCTCACATGCCTTGATAGTCTACAGAACCGCAGAATATTTGAAGAGAGATAATATAATTGATTTTAATAAGTATTAAAAAGAAGATAAAGACAGATAATAATATAATAATAATAACAATGATGATAATAATAATAATAATAATAATAATAATAATGATTATAATAATGATACTAATAATGAAAGAGAGAGTGCATTGAAATATATTATTAACTTATTAAATATAAAGAGATAAAGAAACTATTAACAGTTTTCAGAGATGTACAGAAACAGCTACAGTATTATATAATAATATTATCTTCATTTAATATATATACTATTAATATTCTTTGTATACATTTATTATATAATTTATATCAGAGATACATGCAGAAAACAGATCTTTATTACTAGAGAGAATAATTGCAGTGATTCTCTATTTTTATATTATAAAGATAAATTATTCTTATTTCTTTCTTCTCTCTTTTCTCTTCTTCTTCAACTCATCACTAAGTTCAAGCTGGTATGAAAACTATTAAAACACTCTTAGAAATTCTTAAATTGAAGAGTATAGACTAATCAAATTTTAAATACAGATAAATTAAATTATATTTAATAATACTAATTATTCATTTCTCTCTTAATAAAATAACAGTTATATCTTTTTCTTCTTCTTCAAATAAAACATAGTCTGTGAAAAGTGAGTATCATATCAGATTATAATGATTAACACAGTCTCAGTATACAGAGTTGTATTATAACATGGCGGAACCGAAGCGGTGACTAGTCAGTGGTGACATGTAGAGGTAGTTGTTTGAAAAGCTGTATAAGTGAGCTTGACTATCTTGCTTGAATAGTGAGCTTGTATACTACAGGGTTATTGCGAGAATATCACAGATATGATACTTAGTATACTAAGAAGATTGTATGAGACATGCAGTAACTCTTATGTATATTTCAGTAGAAGTAAAATGAATTACTAACTTCTTTAATGAGAAGTCAGCATCTAGCTATTTTATATAGATAATGAGTGAATATTCTCCTCTCATTTCACAAGTGAGAATAACTGAAGTGATATCTCAGCAGCATCTCATTGTTAAGAAAGAGTAATCTGCTGACCTTGTATAGAAGTGAGGTTCTTATATTCATTAATCAGATCTTTTCATGATATATCTGAATAATATCATAGAGTGATTGAAAACTAGTTCAGTCAGTCTGTGAGAGAGATGAAATCATCTATATGAAAGTAATGAGCTGTATGAAACTGTAACAGAGTCTTGACATAGTCAGAGATATGATAATACTCTTCTCTTTAAGAGTATAGTCTCTATACTCTTAAGATTACTGAATTAGAAATTATCTTTGTTGTATAGTAACAGTTATCAACTGATTAACAGTATATATGCTGTGTGTGATATAAAGAAATAGATGAGTTTTTCTACTGACTACATAGATCTTTCTTTTCTCATCTTCATTCAAATCAAATATATGATAAGTGAGTTCCTTATATATCAATTTAAAATGTGAAAAATGTAGTTAATAAGTGACTTGCAGATCTCTCAATATATTTCATTCTATATATGAAATTCTCTGCAAAAGTAATGTGTTTTAGAGACAAAGTTAACAGTAGTGACAGGATTTTTTGAAAAGATCTCTCTCTCTGTGAAACATTTTTCTTTCTCTTCTCTCAATCACAACAGTGAGTGTATAAGAGTATCATTCTTAAAGAACAATCAAGGACTTATTCTGATATTTTCTAGTGAGTAATAAACATCTTCATGATGTGGCAGCAGCCTCTGTGACTGCTAAGAAAGCCAGATTGAAGATGAAGACAGTGGCATCAATGAGCTGTGAAAGCACTGCTCTCATTGTCACATCTTCTTCTTCTTCTACTTCTTTTACAGCTGTGATGATAGTCACTGTGCCTTGCAGTGAGATGTTGTCCCTTCTGCTGATCAGTTTGTCTGTGTTCAGTCTGTCTCTCACTTCTCTCACCACTGTTGCAATGCTGCCCTCCCTCTCAGTCAATACAGTGGTATATGACCCTGTGTGATCATTTGAAGAGGAACCCAGGGAGAGCTTGATTCCAGAAACAGTGGCTTCAAGAAGCTCAATTCATAGTTTCTCTCTCACAGCATGCCTGAGCCCTGCTCAGAATACTGCTGAGTTGAGTCTGCAGAGTTCTGTGATTTCTTCATCTTCTCTCTGTGAGGAGACTCTGATATGATCTCTGACTGGCATCACTACTTGTCTGTGCTGTATCAAGCAGCTGAAGAAGAGAAGAATTCTATACACTTATCTCTTCTCTTACTTCTGTTATTTCTGTTATATCTATAACAATAACTTCTATCTCTCTGTAAGTATTATCTACTCTATAAGAAGGTGTTATGTCAGCTCTGACAAGAAGCTCAGATGCTCAAGCAGTACAGAGTAAAAGTCTCAGAGCTTCAAGTATTGATGAATTTCATCAAGGCTGAAAAGGTCCTTCTTACTCATCTGTAAAAGAAGATGAAAGTGTGAATCTTCAAGATAAAAAAACACCTCAGAATAACTGATCTTAAGAAGAGATCAGTCAGTGCTGCTGTTAAAAGTATTATAGAGATTAATTACTGATTGAAGAGAATCTCACTTCAACTGAAGCAGATAACTGAGATGCTTTGTAAGTTAATAAGTTAATATTTTATATATTTCTCATGCTCTTCTACAGTGCTGCAGCACTAACTTCTCAGCAGATAAAGATATCAGTGCTGAAGACTTCAATGATGAAGAATAAGTTTAATAAGAATATAGTTATTAATGAGTAGATTCTGAGATTCTCTCTTTTTACTTTTTCAGTGAGCTGTGATCTCACTAGAATAGTAGTAGTCTGTGAGTCAATTAATATTAATCTTTTTTATTAATTTCAAATATCTCTTCTCTCTAACTGCTTCAGGAATTTTACACTTATATAGTCTTATTAAACTTCTAAAAACCCTTTAAGAGAAAATAGAAGAAGAGTGCTACAGAGTCTATAAGATACTGACTCATTACTGTGAGATCATCTTTAAAAAACTCTTTAAGAAAAATAAGAAGTCTTAAGCAGTATTTCTTGTCTAATATCTCTGATGTGTAATAAGACAGTCTCTACTAGCTGTCTCATAGCTTGTAATCTCTTTCTCAGCATTTTTCAAATACTCAAGCAGTTCTCATAAATTCTCTGATAATGAATAATCTTCTCATTTAACAAGATATTGAAGCTTACTGTAATATATTCATTTATTCAATATTTTCTTCATAAGATATTTAATATCATTCTCAATCTCAATATCATCTGACTGAGACAGCTCTGCTTCAGAGTGTTGCTTATAGAGCTTCAAATAGAAAATATGAAAAACAGAATGAATTGATTTCAATTCTGTGAGTAATTTCAACTTATATATCTGCTTACTCATTACTCTTATTACTGAGAAAGATTCTAGTCACTACTCACTGAGCTTCTTACATAATCTTATTATCTTGATATTTTTTACTGAAAGTAGCACTTGATTCTCTATCAAGAACTTCATTGAAAGATGTTTTTAATTATAGTATTTTATCTACTGCTTCTGAGCACAGTGAATACTTTTCACTATCTTCTTATAAATTTTATTTAAAAGTTTCAATCTCACTTTTACTTCTGATACTGAGAAATACTTTATTCTCTGTATCTATCTGACATTCTGACTGTCTATTTCTCTCTTTGAAACATCATTTATGACATCACTGAGTAATGAAGAATTATATTTATAATAAGCATAGAAAGAAGATATCTTTAAGATTACATTCTTTACATTATTATATATAAATTCAGTGATTAGAAGATGTTTAAGTCAATTATTCTAATAATATAAATAGAATATTTAAAGATGCTGTTCTAGTATCTGATTCTGATATTCAGTCTAGTCATCAGTCTGCAGATGAAATGTAATACTGAGAAGATATCTTATTATAAGATGATAGTAAAAAGCTGATCAGTATTTACTGATAAAGAGAAATTCTTGATCTGTTATCAATGATTTCAGAGCATTATGATTATAAATAATGATATCTAAAAACAGGTCAGTCAGTTCAGAGACTTTAATCTTTTTATAAGTAGAAATATATCTGATCATCTTCATAAAGCAGTTAATAATAACTAAAATTAAGTTATATTCTTTGACTCTTGTTGACTTCAGCAGGTCAACTATGAAATTCATCAATAGATTCTATTATAAGCTCTTTAAAACAGATAGTGATATTAACTCACTGTATTACTTATACTATGAGATCTTTATTCTTTGACAGATATCACAAGTTTCAATATACTCTTTGACATCTGTCTGAAGCTTGTCTTAAGTATATTTATATTTTAGAAGCTTCTCAGTCTTCTCTAATCTGAAGTGCTCTGCATGAGGATTATTATAATGAATTCTCAATAACTTCTGACACACTGCTCTGCTATAAGAGACAAAGACTGAATTATTCAACAGTAGAAGTTCACATTCTTCTAGTTATCAGTGACTTGATTTCTTAGCAGCACTGTCTCACTCAGAGCCTGTCTCTTTCAAGTTCAAACTGAATTCTTTCTTCTTCAACTTCTGAATTTGAGCTGTAGTAGAGATGTCTCTCTTCTATAACTTATCAATGAATTTCAAAAGTAATTGAGTTGAAAGATTGTAGATTATTTCATTCTTTGTCAATTCAATGATTGTAAGATATGATATAAGAAGCTCATGATCTTCAGTGTTAGTTCTCTGTAAGAACCTGAGTTCTCTTTCATCTTCTATACTGAGTCACACAGCTGTCTCTTCAGCGCTGTTTCTGAGCTTTAGAGAACTTCAACCCTCTGCAGCTAGCTTCTTCTGCAGTGATAACAGAGATTCTTTTATAGAATTCTTCTCTATATCAATGATATTATAATTGAGCTGTTTAGATAGTATGTCAGTGAGATTAAGCTGATCTGAACAGTATTAAATATAGAAATTATACTCTGAAAGCAGCTCTGCTCACCTGACTTGATATTCTGTCAAGCTCTTTGTTATCAAGAAGTAACACAGATTTACATGATCAGTGAGAACTTGCACTGAGTACTTACTATTCTGAAGATAATGTTATCAGATTTTAAAGAATTCAATAATTGCTAACATCTTCTGATCATGAGTATCATACCTTCTCTGTATGAGTGATAACTTCTTGAAGAAGAAGATCACTGATCTTCATTTGCAGTGTCTTATAGACTCTGTGAAAAAGTCTTCTTTCACAGACAATTCATTGTCTGATTTCTCAGAGATAATTATCTTCTGATTCTTTCAATGTTGAAAGATCTTCAGTGTCAACTGTGAAAAGATTTCACAGATCTCATTCTCAGATATATCAGTCTCACACTGACTGAGTAAGTCAGAGTTAAAATGATTCAGTATTATAACATCTGTGAAAGCTTGTTTCAATTCTGCAAACATCTGTACAGTGTCTTGAGTGAGAGTAAACAGTTCTGTTTTTCTGTCTTTCACACTTCTCTTTAACAGATCTGTAAGAAGGGCAGTAATCTGTGAATATGCATAGATGAATCATCTGTAGAAATTCACAAATTCTAGAAATACCTGCATCTCATGGTATATCCGCGGTGCTGGTCAGTTCTCAATGATGAAGACCTGGCTTCTGTTCATTGAAATATCATTTATCTCAACAATATAATCTAAGAAATCAATCTTCTGCATGTAGAATGAGTATTTTTCAGTGTTTATATAGAGTTGATACTGTCTCAAGTGACTCAACACTTCTTGAACATGGGTATCATGTTCTTTCTCTGATTTTGAGAAGATTAAAATGTCATTCAGATATACTATGCAGAAGACATTAACAAGGCCCTGCAGTGTCTTATTTATATAGATCTGAAAGATGGCTGAAGCATTACAAAGATCAAAAGATAAAACAAGATATTCAAAATTATCATACTTAATATGAAAAGTCATTTTTCAAATGTTGTCTTTGTTAACTCTGATTCTATGATAGACATTCTGTATATCAATCTTTGAGAATATCTTTGCTTCAGATAATTGATCAATCATCTCATCAATTAGTAGTAATGAATAGTGATTCTTAATCATCATCATATTGAGATCTCTGTAGTCTATGTATAGATGTAGTCTATCATTCTTCTTGAATACAAAGAGTATAAACATCTCTGCTGAACTCTTTGATAAATATATTCAGTTCTTTGATTGCACTTCTTCAAGATATTTGCACAGAACATTCAACTCCTTTACAGACAAGTTGTAAAGAGGCCTGTACAGCACTGTTACACTGTCTTCAAGATAAATCTTATATTATATCTTGATGTCAGGAAACTTCACTGCTTTTCTTTCTGAAAAGACATTCTTAAAATCTGTAAAAAGATGTTGTATACATCTGTCTTCAATGACAGATACTGCTGCTAATCTTGCAGTGAGAATGATGACTTCTTCACCTGTTTTCAAGTCTCAATCATCTGCTATGCAGTATATCAACTCAATCTTTTTCTCAAGATTCTTCTGATGAAACTCTTCAGATTTCTCTATCACTGTCTCTTCATCAGTGAGGTGATACTGCCACATCTGAGTGACTCAGTCAATGAGAGAATTGTTTTCTCTCAATCACAGAAGATCTAGAATGATGTTCTCATCTATGATATTAACTGTGTGAAGAAGCAGACTGCTTTTCTTGAAGATTTCTTCTAAGTCTGTGACTACACACTTTGCTTGAATTATGCTAAAATAATAGTATTTTGTTTCATCTATAAATTTTGCATAATCTGACAGATCTATCTTCTTTCAATTCTTCATTAAAGAAAAGAAATAGAATATGAAGTTGATATCTGTTCTGAAGTCAAGTAGACATCTCACTGATATCTTCTCATTTGAGATATACATTGTGATTGTAATATAAACTCAGAGATGTGAGAATTATCAATTCTTTTCTTTCTCTTCTTTATCTTTCACAGATACATTTATCAGAAGAGAAGTTAATTTTGAAAAGATATCTTCTCAGTTTCTTCTCTTCTTCAGCTTCTTACAATCACTGATATAGTGATCATCAGCTCTGTGATTCAAAGGTTGCTTAAGCCAGCGTACGATTACAGGCGTACGCCGGCTTCTTATATATTGAATCTCGTACACTAAATTAATTAGCGGCCGCTAGGGCCCCTTTACATTTGTACATGTATGCTAGTAGTTTGGAAGCGGCCGCATTATTATCCAACAGTTGTATGTTCTTCCGAACCACATTCTCTCCCACCAGATTCGGTCACACCCACATGACCATATTGTACACCCTAGCTTCATGCGGATTAGCTCGCCACTAGCATTTCACAATTGTGTGACCTATTCCTGATCCGGCTAGTGTCCTGCATACACCCTCACAAAGAAACTTCCACTATATTACATCACTTATTCACTAACTTTTCTCATTCTTCAATCATCTTCTTCATCATCATCATCATTGAATGCCACTATTCCATTCAAGATTTCTGCCTCTTCTTCTATTCAACTCTTTCCATCTGTTCATCTATCACATTGTACACATTTCTGACAATGACTCTCTGTTCTCACAACAAGTGTCATTGTAGTGTTCATATCAGGCAGTTTGTTAGCAGTAAGTGTAACACATTGTGAAATGTACATGATCAGAACTTGTTTATCTTCTAACAATTGTCAGAACATACTATCATAAATGACACATCTTCTTCATCTTCTCATACACTCTCTTCACTTTCTCATACACTCTTGACTATTTCTCTTCTCAGCAGATTTCTGATCATGTTTTCTGACATGATTTTGCATGAATGCAGATGCTGATATATTTATTTTTATTCATATAGAATCTTTACATGTTGACAGATTCACATTCACTGATAATAGTGAACCTGATGTTACATTCTTGATTGAGAACTTAAAGAATGCAATAATGAAGAAATTGTCTGTATCATGTGTGGCCAGGTCTCCTGCATTCTCTCTTACTTCTTCTGCTGCTTCTTCCTCTGCTGCTTCTCTCTCTGTCTCTTTCTCTGTCACTTCTCAATCTTCTACACTTGCCCCTGTGTCTGGTTCTCCTGCTCTCACTACTCCTGTTCTCATGACCCCTGGTTTTACTGCCTCTGCTTTTGTTACTAGCTCTCCCTGTTTCAAGAAGATGTTGTATAGGCTTAATGAATCACATCTCTCAGTGTGTACACTCTCACTCTTCTTGTCAACTCTCAGAACAATTTATTGTATAAAGATAATATACAACACAACTATCTGAAGCTCAGTCACAGACACTGATTATTACATTCATTTTAAATATTCATAATAAGATAATTATTTATTTATATCAGAGAATCATTCTCTCTCTCAACAGTATTAAAATCATAAGTCTTTTTCTTTTCATCTTTTCAATCTGATGCTGATTTTTCTGTTCTTAGAAGAAATTGTTATAGGTTTTACTATACACAAAGTTATAATGTTCACAGATATCAAGAAGCTTTTTATAACTGTAAAGTTCAATATTACAGAGATATTCACTCTGATAAATTTCTTTGAAATGATAGATCTGTATCAGTCTATTCTCTGATATCTGTCATCTGACTTCATGATACAGACAAAAGATATTCATGTTTTCAGAAATGAAAATACAGATGTTGTACTCTTTTACACTCACAGATGTGAGACTTGTATATCTTGTCTGAAATGTCATTATGAAAATGAGCTGTTCACATGCTGTGTTCTGCTTTCTGCATTCTCTCATGTCTCTCTCTCTCTTTCTGAGAAGCCTTGTGCATGTTGTAATTGCATGTACAACTCTAAGATCAGCAGATGTTCATTCAGTAACTGTTCTCATCTCTGATTTTGCAATTTTTGTATACTAATAATGATTCTTAGTTACTTCAGTGTCAGAGATCATTCTCATCAAAGATGACAACATCACTGAGACTATCTTCTCTCACTCTCAAGCTTCTCTCATCACTTTCTCTCTCTTCTCTGTGAGAAAGGTTGTGCATACACTGAGTTGTAAGCATTCAGCTTCAGATGACTTTCATCATTATTCATCTGATTCTGCATCTTCTTCTTCTTCTGTTTCTTTCATCTTCATTCTCTCTGTCTCAGCTTCTGATTCTGTGAGTTCTGCACTCTTCTTCAATTTCTCTACACATACATGTACACATTTCTATATTGGCATTCCAGTCAATATTGTGATAAATGACATTAATGTCATACACAGAGCAGTAGAGAAATCAGAGACATGCATGATATTATTACAAGAGCAGCTTGCAACTCTCAAATCTCTTGCAGATCTCGAGTTTTGAGATTTCCTTTGTTTTTAGCATTTTTCAGATAATATGGTATTGGAAATAGATTAAACATGTGACATATAAAAATGAATGAAGTGTGTATGATAACATTTATCTTTTTACAGCTAACTCTTACAGTTAATGATTAATTCATTATCTCTTTTCTTTTTCTTACACTTTTTCTTTATCTGCTAGTTACTACTCTTATATGATCTCTATATAATACAGCATTCAGTGACTAGGTTCAGCAGCTTTCATCTTTATAATTCTGTCTCACACATTATACTGTCTCTCTTCACCTGCTCAGATCACTACAGTGAACAGCTCATTGAAACTAATCTCACTCAATCTCTGAGTATTTTCAGAGGTTGAGATGACTTGGTCTCATGCATTCATAGATGTTTCAGATAGTTCATCCTCTGTGATCTCTGCAATTGAACTGATGTAAACAGTTAAATTCAACTCTGAATTTCTTTTTCTTCTGTAATCTGATTCATGTGCAAGTCCGTCACTTTAAGACTGCTCTTTATCATGTTACACCTGCTATCTGCAGTACATTATTGTATGACTGGCTACAGTCTCATCACTTATTGAAGTGTGATGTTTATCTGATTTCTTCATTTCTTCTCATTCTTTTCTTATAATCATGAAAAGATTGAAATAAGTGAGATTATCTGATTTGTAAGTGTCTATGATTTCTCTTACTTCATGAGACTTTTCAATTGTAAGTCTCTTCTTTTTCAATACTGATAATAGTGCTGTGAATAATCATAATTCACTCAGATCTTGCATTCTTACTTTTATAAGTTATGAATTATTGATTAAGTTGTGTAAGATCTGTTTCTCTGATTCTTTCAATATATACATTCTCAGAGAATGTGATTTGAGTATTTTATATGACTCAAATTATCTAGATTGAAACTTCTCAGAACTCTTATTATGTACAAAAACTCACATTTTCATCTTGAGACTCAATTTCTTAATAAGTGAGTCTCATATTCTTTTCAATTGAATTGCTCAGTTCAGAAGTAACTTATTAGCTTTTGCATGTGTGTGGCTGATCTCTTTCAATCTTGATTTCATGTCTGCAACTGTTGCATTCACAACTGCTGTTTCTGCTGCATCTGCAACTACTTTCTCTCTTACCTTTTTCAAAGCATTCTCCGGGATGCGCGGATGCAATTCATACAACAGATAGAATGATGAACACTTGAAGACTGCATGCTGTCAAATCTGTGTGATCAATAGCACCTGTCTGAGATATTCATTTCATAGTCTTGTAGACTTGTTCACTAGATATTTCATCAGCATATTGTCTAAGATTTCATTCAAGTGTTTCACCTTTTCATTCATTCACAGATGATATAGCATTGTTCTACAATATCTTGTCTGTAACTGGCTCACAAAATGTCTCACTGCTTCTTCTACAAGGTTCATATCATTATCAGTTAGAATCTTGCACAGCATTTCATAGTTAACATAGATCTTATTATATAGAAACTTTGTCATCACCTTCTCTGTCATCTCTGAAACTGCTTTCATGACTGACCAGTCAGTAGCATAATCAATAGCAGTGATTATTTATTGATTTTCATTTAGTGTTCACAGTAATATGTCTATGAGGTTCACTCTTCATCATTTGAACAGTTGTATCATACACTTCATCTGATATTGCACTTTCTTGTATTCTAATCCTTTCTTCAATTCTTTCACAACCTGATAATTCAGACACTCATGAGCATATACCTGAATATTCTCAGTCATACTTGACTAGTACACTCTTGATTCAAGTATACTTATGAGTTCAGAGCTTTCTAAGTGACTGAATTCCTTGTGCATGTGAGCTATTAAATCATATTGAAATGAAGATTCTAGATAGAGAGCTTCTGCATATTCTAGATTGCAGTAAAGCATAATATCATTTTTCAATTTTCTCAGCTTAAAGTTCAGAAGCATCTCTTCTACTACTTTCATAAGACACTTATCATCTGACACCTTGTCATTCTTTAAGTGAGAGATCATAATGTTCACTTATTCTGATTCCTTGCATCTTCTCAGTGTGTTTAATGTGAATATCTCTTGTATCTGATTCACAGAACTCTCACTCATGAAATTGAGTCTGTGACTGATTGTATCAGGCATCACTGTGTTCAATTCTTTTCAGTATTTAATATGAAGATTGTATACTTGAAACTCTGAGATTCAACATGCTAAGCATTTGAAAGGTTTTATCATTGATTGTAGATAGACAAGGCTTTTATAATCTGTGATCACTGTTATTGTATACTTGTTATTGATATATCTATTTCACAACATCAGTACATGCTTGATTGCTAGCAATTCCTTTTCATGCACTGAATAATTGAGCTCAGTGTTCAATAGTTTTCTATCATTGTATGCCACTGAGTGCAGCTTGCTGTTCTTGCTCATCTGTAGAAGAGCACCTCTGATAGCTCATTTGAATGTGTCTGTTTCAATGTAGAAAGGTTTATTACAATCTGATTGAATAAGTACTGAGAATGTTATTACATATTCTCTCAGTGTGAGAAAAGCCTCTTCACACACAGTATTTCAGATGATTGAACAAAACTTCTTCTTTCACAGATTTGCATTCATTTCTCTTAAGAGATCTGAGAGTGATGCAGATATTCATGCAAAATCCTTGATGAATCTGCAGTAATATGAGATCAACTCAAGAAACTGTTATATATGATGTACATTCCTCGGCTGCGGTCAATTTGCTATGACATTCAATTTCTCTGAGATGAGGTGTATACAGTTATCACTCACTACATGTCTCACAAACTTCAACTCTTTCATTTCAAACACACACTTGATTGATTTGATGTAGAGCTTATGCTCTGTCAGAGTTATAAGCACTTCATTGAGATGCTTCAAATGTTCATTGTATGAGTTTGAAAAGACTAGAATATTATCAAGATATATGAGACATGAGGTTTTATTCTGTTTATGAAGAATCATATTCATTATTATTTAAAAGATGATGAGTGCATTTGTCAGACTGAATAGCATTGCTAGGAATTTGAACTTCTCTCATTATATATTAAATATGATTTATGAGACTGACAGTTCATCTACACAGATCTGTCAGTATTCTGAGAGAAGATCAATCTTTGATAGATATCAGGTGTTTTCAACTGTATTCAACTGTTGTTGAATTCATGACAGTGAATATTCATTCTTGATTGTAAGCTTGTTGAGTGCTTGATAATCAATACACATTTGTCACTCTTCACTCATCTTTTTCATGAATAGAACTGGAAAGCCTCACATGCTTGATGAGAGTCATATGAGATCATGTTCTAGAAGGTTGGTAATCTGACACTTCTGTTCTTTGAGATGTGTTTGTGACAGAGAATACACATTCTGATTGACTAGTTTTGCATTCCTCATGTCAATCTCATGTATGAATCCTCATTCCAGCAGCAATTCCAGTGAAAGATCTGTTTGAAAGACCTTTCTATACTTCTTCAGAAGCTTCTTCATACACTTGTTCTTCTACATATTCTTTATCTTGGTTTCCTCTGCTTTCAGGTCTCATATAACATACAGAATGCTTTCAGATAAGGTCTTACAAATCATTCTCTTTGCTTATTAATGTGTAAGCAGATTTAATCCTTCTATATCAGAGATGTGAAATGTTCTTCTCATATCAGTTGATAGAATTGTATGAATCATTTTCTTTCTATCAGTCAACTGTATATAACATGTACATCATTGAATCTGCAGATTGAACCTTTAAAATCAATTGAGTTCAAGAATAAGATTATATTTCACATTCTGCAGCTCTCACACTCAAATATAGCAAGATCATTCTCTGAAGTGTAAGAGAACTCTTACTCTTACAGGTGATATCAAATATCAGTTATCAGATAATTTTATGTGTCAGGGATTCTTCACTCAGCAGACCTCTTTCAATCTTCAGATCATATAATCATCAATATATTACATAGAAGCTTCTGTATTCACTAACACTTTTACAGCCATCTCTCAATTCTTACTCAAGTACTCTCTATACATTAACATTTCAGGTCTCAAGGCATTGAGATGAGTGTTCACTTCATCATTCTTATTCACATCTCATTCAGAAGCCTGCTTCTTCTTTGTATTTGTAGAATTCAGAGAGTCATCTAACACAGACATCTCTTTCACTTTGAAGACTTTTCATAGAATATCAGTAAGTGTCTCTGAGCTCACTAATTCTGCTAGTTTTTTGACTCTCTTGCTTCTCTTGACTGTGCATGCTGAGTGTAATCTTTTACATCATGATTTTAGCATCTGCAGTTAAAGCAAGCTTGATACTCATAACATCAAGATTTTCACTCAGAGAATCTCTTTTTCAGAGAATTCAGTGCTTTAGTGATAACATTCAGATCTAGATTCATTGTGTCTGAGTGTATAACTTGTGTCATAGAAGTCTGATTATCTGTTCTTCACTGAGATATACTCAATTACAGTATTTTCTGTCACAATTGACTTGCTTATTCTCATACAATGAGAATGTTATATGCTTCTTTCATCATGTCTGATTGCAAGATTAAGCATTTTCATTTCACTCTCAACTCAGATGTAAGACTATGAATGAAGATCTGTAAACAGAAAGATGTTAAAAGCTCTTTATTCAACATAAGATAGTATAAACTGAAGTATGTAAAGTATAATGTAAGATCACTCACTTATCTACACTCAGTGAAGTAT